CCGCGTCTCAATCTTAGCTTTCCCCATTATGATTGACGAGTCTGCAGCTGGCCTGCAGCCTCCTATCGATTGTCTGCATCTTCGCCTATCTAGCTATCGATAGGCTTCGCGACTCGTGAAAAACGTCCTCTCCATATTCCTTTCCCTGCAGTAAGCTGTGATATGCCCACGCCATATTTCCCGGCGTCGTCATCGGCTACTTCTCAGCTGAACATGATTATTGCCCAAGACGCGTCTTCGCGTTGTTGACGCACAACTCAGCCGTACCACCGGATCCCCCTCTCGACGTTTCAACTTGTCCGATCGCACGGCTTCCTGCGATCGAGGGTTGTTCCAATGATGCTTCGCCTGCATTTAGCCATCCGTCCATCCCATGGCGCCGGGATCGAAGATGGGTGGTTACACATGACGTAGCCTCCTTGATCTCTCCCCCAGCTCTCGATGTCAGAGCCACTCCGTGAACGTAGAGCGGCTAAGCTATCGATATGATACACGCTAGAAGCTCACAAGGCTGCAGTCCCGGAGGCGGACCGTATGCCGCTCGATAGTCTTCTTCAAACAGCGTGCTCACGAGGCCTTGTTTGAGGCCAGACTTCGAGATGGTTGCATCAACTGACTACTAACTCTCCGGGAAGGTGCGGCTACAGATCGTACCTGCTTGATCGATCAAACGCAAAAGCACGTCGGCAGTCAAGCGCCCTCGAGCTGTCACGCGTGGAGATCATCGCGTCATGGGGAAAAAACAACGTTCTGATACCCCGAATCTGCCTCATGTGGCCGCTTCTGCGACCTCAATAATATTGGTACTAGAATTATCCCCGCTAGTCTACCGTCCAACGTCGGATACTGCAGGTACGCGCTTCCATCGCCATGTTTTCCTGTTTCATCATCGCCGTACCTGCTTTAGCCTATCGTGCGCTTCCATATTTCTCTACACCCATCCATCGTCACTATGATGGCACATTCCGACATCGGAAAGACCCGATCACTTTGCGACGAGCAGCAAGCTCCAAGAGTGTTGTCTAAGGCATGGACCCGAGTATTTCCGGATATGCAAGCGCTGCAGTTTTACCGGTCCCGAGCAGAAGCGACATTGCATCTAAAATGATCGATACGAGTTTGTTCTGAGTTCCAAATCAGGAACGCGCCATGAGCGCACGGCGACATATCGTGCAGCTACATGCACAGGTCAGCCTTAACCGCACTTGCAGCGGGCACCAGCCTCATGATACCCCAAGTTTGATGTTTCAACGCGTGTTTCAGAACACAACTTCGAATTTCCTAATATTGTCACGGCCATACGGCTTGTCGCCCAATCCAATCACTATGGTAACATTTGATGGATTGTTCGCCCAGTTCGGATTTCCATGGTAACTATTCCTAGATGTTTTACTAGGCTTGATCATATCGTGGGTAGATGATGTGGCTTTTCAACAGGAGAGTATTAGAGCCAACTTCATGACCGTGGTTATGGAAGTGAAGGCCAAAACGGGTAGAAGAATTGCGTGGAAACCCCGCACAATCAAGGTATTACCCAGGGTCTCAGCGATCAAAATCCACAAGGCGTGCACGCCAAGAAGAAAGAGATGGGGTTTCTGTCGGTTTTGGGTCGGATATTACTGCGCGATAGACGCCCAACACAGACAGCTGTCAAAAGTGACGAACATCCAGGGACCTCCCGTGACATCGCCTTAAAGATCCACAGGGTCCGGAGATGATCTGTTCCCACTGTTCATCCCGTCGCTAAGGTGATGCAAGATCTGCTGCCGTAGATGCCCAATGCTGCGCGTCTTCGTATTGCGCATATTGAGGCCACTAGGTGATCCTTGGATGCTATATCCGGGCATGACCGTGTGGGTCTGTTCCTCATTTCGATTGATTTGGGCAGAGTCAGGAGAATGACGAAATTTCTACACGAACTTCTTTCGTTGAGTCAGGTAAGAAGTACATTGACGATGCAAAAGCTTTTTGTTGTTGCGTTATAGGATGTAGCCTACGTCAACTCGGAACGTGATGCAGACAGGGACCGAGGGGTTGTTGCAGTGTCCATTTGACCTGTCGTGGCTAGATGAGAATTACAATCTTTCCATCTCTGTGATCGAAAGGGCTCTGTCATGTCAAGCCTTGATCGCATGCGGGGTACGCATGATGAATCGATACAATCATAGTGCCAGAGACACTACATCTACCAGATCTGGCAGCGATATGGAATAAGTGCTCAATATGTTTACAATGAATAGAGAAGAAAACCGATGTGGCATGAAGCATGAGTCCTAGAAGCCGGATGGAAAAACTTTGTTCCCGTGGCTTGCAGTCGATGCGAAGGCGGGGTGAGTCAAATCGAAAAGTTTGGCGGGGCATTGTATCTCGTCGCGCAGCCCACACGAGCAACACCCGAACATCGCAACAATGGCTGACGAACAACCCGCAACACAGCCACCGGCTGCCGAGGCCAAGGACTTGCACACTGACCCCGTCACTGGCGAGAAGATCTCCAAGAGTGAACTGAAGCGTCGCCAGAAGCAGCGTGAGAAGGACGAGAAGAAGAAGGAGAAGGCGGCCGCGCTCCCGGTGCAAACCAAGAAGGAGAAGAAGGACGATGTCGAAGAATTGAACCCAAACGTATGCCTTCAATCCTGAAATTCCTGTCGACCCAATTGCTCACAAACTACAGCAATACTTCGAAATCCGATCCAACAAGATTAACGCACTTCGTGCCTCCAAGCAACCGAACCCGTACCCGCACAAGTTCCACACCAACTACAAGCTCCCCGACTATGTTCGCGACTACTCGCACCTCAAGAAGGGAGAGACCGAGCCCGACAAGGAGATTCGCATTGGTCTCCGCGTCATGACACAGCGCTCCGCCTCCAACGCGCTGCACTTCTATGTTTGTACGTATACGGCACACGACGATGCCTTCAACAGCTAACAGTCTACAGGCCAGGCTGAGGGCACCAAGATTCAGGTCATGTGCCAATTGCAGGAAGCCAAGGCCGACGTACCTTTTGAGAAGCAGCATGAGAACATCCAGCGTGGAGACATCATCGGTGTCATCGGCTTCCCAGGTCGCACAAGTCCCAAGAAGGGTGGTGAGGGCGAGCTGAGTATCTTCGCGCGCGAAGTAATCCTTCTCACTCCTTGCCTGAGAATGTTGCCAACGGAACACTTGTGAGTTCGGTTGTAGACTCAGGTGAACATAGTACTGATACTGTGATAGTGGTTTCAAGGACCAGGAGCAACGCCACCGCAACCGATTCCTCGATCTCATCATGAACGACTCAACACGCAACACTTTCATTACTCGCTCCAAGATCATCAAGGCCGTTCGCAAGTATCTCGATGAACGAGACTTCCTGGAAGTTCAGACACCTATGATGAACAAGATTGCTGGTGGTGCGACTGCACGACCCTTCAAGACATACCACAACGAACTCGACATGGAGCTTTACATGCGTATCGCGCCCGAGCTATACCTCAAGGAGCTCGTAGTAGGAGGTCTTGAGAGGGTATACGAGATTGGCCGTCAATTCCGTAACGAGGGTATCGATCTCACCCACAACCCGGAGTTCACCACTTGCGAATTCTATATGGCCTACGCCGACTACAACGACGTCTTGAACATGACCGAAGAGCTCGTCAGTGAGTTGGTCAAGGAAGTCACTGGTAGCTACGAGACTGTCTATCATACTCAGGACGGCGAGATCTACAACGTCAACTGGGCAAGGCCATGGAGGCGAGTCGAAATGATACCCGCATTGGAAGAGGCTACTGGTGAGAAGTTCCCACCAGCAGACCAGCTACACACTGCCGAGACCAACGAGTTCCTCAAGAAGGTGCTCAAGAAGGTCAACGTCGACTGCTCAGAGCCTCGCACCAACTCAAGAATGATCGACAAGTTGGTTGGTGAGTTCATCGAGGAGACTGCTATTAACCCTACATTCATTATCGGTCACCCCGAGGTCATGTCGCCCCTTGCCAAATACCACCGTGATACCCCTGGTCTCTGCGAGCGCTTTGAGGCATTCGTATGCAAGAAGGAGATCTGTAACGCCTACACTGAGTTGAACGATCCATTTGACCAACGTCTGCGATTCGTAAGTTCGAGGCAGGTACGTTGATAATATGAATACTTACGGTTATACAGGAAGAGCAAGCGAACCAGAAGGCTGCTGGTGATGACGAAGCACAACTCATTGACGAGACATTCTGTCAGTCGCTCGAGTACGGTCTGCCGCCCACTGGTGGTTGGGGTATGGGTATCGACCGTCTAGTCATGTTCTTGACAGACCACTACTCTATCAAGGAGGTGCTCACCTTCCCCTTCATGAAGGACATCGTTGAGGTCAAGAAGCCCGCCGCGGAGGTTGTCGACGTAACCCCCAAGCCCACTGAGGGCATTCGTAAGTACATAAAGCTTTGAAGTTGTACACAGCTTGCTAATGCGATGCAGCACACAAATAGATTCAAAGTAGCATTACCGGCGTATGGGATGGTTAGGACATGGGTACGGATCATGAGGCACGTTTCACGAACGATTTAGCCAAGATAAATGAAGATGAAGACATGAACGACTCTGCAAGAACATATAAAGCTCTTTTTCTCTGAATTGTCCCGAATATCTTCACGGTCAACTTCAAACGCACACACTACCAGCGTGTTATCCTGCAAGTGCCTTAAGAAAAGTCCGCGGTAGATTCCTTTGGAATACTCACTGGTGCGAAATGCATCTTATCATTTTGATGCCTCTTCGTCAATTCATAGATGGTTCGAGTACCAGATTCGCTATCACATCATCTCTATGACACGATCTACCGTCACTCATGGTGCTCTTAGACAAGACATCGCATTGTATGTATAAAATCGCGCTCTAATCCAGTTACTGTACAATTTGAAGATATCGCGAGTTCTCCTCCAATGAACGCTGGCGCAATCGCGTACTGTATAAAGATAATGGGCTTGAGGTTTCGGCTCCCCGCTCACGGACCATGACGTTTTATCCCCGAACGGCGGCGGACCGCACCATTGCCGCAACATTGTTGCCGCGAGAACTTGTGCCGAACGGGAGGCCTATGAATAGATTTAGAGATTATATATGAGACTTGAAGATCTGTTGCTGAGGCCTAAGTTTGTGTTTTCAATTTAGCCGTCCATCTCTAGTCAAGATCTTACTACGATTTAGGATACACATTTCGCCAAAGAAAGAAGACAAATACATACAATAACGAGAGAAGACTGATTCAAGCATGGCAGCACCAGGGGGAAACTTCTTTATCCAAGAGAAGCTGAAGACTCCAGCAAAGCATCATGAGTCTTACGAACAGCTTTGGGAGACGAAGTGGAAGAAGCCTGTATGTTCATCACTTGTCACTCAATAACATAGATGCGACAGCTGCAACCATGTTGAATTACGTTTGTTGATACATCGCAGGCAGAGATGGGCGTCTACCCCTTCATGTTCGGCACAGCCTCCGATTTCGAGCCGATAGTCACAGAGATGAAATCCAGAGACATGAAAGAGCCCTATAACTGGGACGAATACGCCAAAATCTACTTCCCGCAAGCCGAGAAGCTCAAATCTATAGCCGAAGAGGCCGAGAAGAACGGCGAGAAAGAGAAGGCATCAGAATACTACCTACGCTCCAGCGCCGTTTACCGCATCAGCCGCTTCCCTGCGCCACGCAGCGAAGTTCAACGTGAAGCATGGAAACTAGGCAAAGAAGTCTGCATCAAGGGCCTAGGAATGCGTCCGCACCCCGTGCACGAAGTCATGATCCCACATCAACATCGCAACCAAGACGAAGGAGAACACATACCCGTTTACCACCTCGTCCCCGAAGGCGCCTCGAAAGAAAACCCGGTACCCACCGTTATCATTTTCACTGGCCTCGACGGCTATCGCACTGAGCTGGCCGTCTGGATGGAAGGCTGGCGTCGCGTAGGCGTAGCCACTATCGTTCTGGAGATACCCGGTACTGGAGACTGTCCCGCTACCGCATCGGACCCCACATCCCCAGACCGTCTCTACAGCTCACTGTTCGACTGGATAGCCACACAAGAGCGTCTTGATGCAAAGAAAGTTGCCATCTGGGCATTCAGCACCGGCGGCTACTACGCCATCCGCGTTGCTCACACACACGCAGATCGTCTGGCAGGCGTCGTAGCATTAGGAGGAGGCTGCCACTACATGTTTGAGCGCGAATGGCTCGACAATGTAAATCACCTCGAGTACCCCTTTGATCTTGCCAACACACTCGCATACAAGTGGGGTTACGGAAATGACGTCGAAGCCTTCAAAAAGGAAGCCATGAACAAGTTCTCGTTGCTAAACGACGGCACGTTGGATAAGCAAACATGTTCGAGATTGCTGTTGGTGAATGGGACTGAGGATGAGATTTTCCCAATTGACGATTATTATCTTGCGTTGCAACATGGTGCGCCCAAGGAAGCGAGGTTTATAACGGGCATCAAGCATATGGGGGAGCCGGAGAGCTTCTTTGTTATCATCAAGTGGCTGTATAAGCTGTTTGGTATTGAGGCCGAAGTCGGGGCACAGATGTCGACGTTGCCCTTCAAGCCAAAGTACTAAGGGGGAGAGTGAGGTATGCAAAGAGGATGAATGCAGAGAAGGAACCGAGAACACGACAGCGAGCGGAATTGAGATTAGGTCCTTCGAGATCCATGTTCTATACTCTTCCTGTTGTGACATCGTGACAGGATAGCTTGCTCAGTGTTGCTATCTTACGTTCATTTTCTGTGTTCGCAATAGTCATATAGTGTCTCAATCGTTTGAAATGCTTTCTTTCTTGTTACAATTGTTTTACACTTGCATCCCATATATTGCATGGCTGCTCATATACGCGCATGCTCTTCAGATGTCAGCCGCTCCAATGCCCACACATACTCTTCCAGAGAAGAATGCAGGTATGCTCAATCGATAATAAGTCACAAAGTGAGGCACAATATTTGCGAGCAGACAGTTGATAAGGCAACGCAAGTTCCATTAGAAATTATCTACGTCACATTCCCGATCCCTCTGCTCGACTCGATCCAACATAAGCGTACATGAAACACAATCAGTTCGTCGTGCAAGGAAAATTCAAGCTTGAATCTAAAGCGAAGGGTATTGCGGCGGATGCGCATATATGTCGCGGCATCGCCAGAGAGACATGGAACAAAAAGGGAAAATGGTATCATTGTTCTTTCCGAAAAGCCCTGCCTGCATCACGCAAGCCGCCAGCTGAAGGGGAGAGAAAGGAAAAGGAAAACAGCCAAGTACAGCACAGTGTGTATATTGGAAAAGAGAAATTGATATGTTCGTGGGTCGTGCTCAAAGATGAGACAGTGACAGTGGGTGTGTAGTGGAACGATGACAAGCCAACAATCTGTTCGAAATACGAGCAAAAGATGCAAAGGAAACGCGCGATCGGCTCGATGCTGTAGATGACGAGTGTTCCAGCCTATGGCTCTTCACATGAGTAGTGGGAGCCATAGGACGGTCTTGGTGTCTTCTCATAACTCTACAAACGCGAATTAGCCACTAGCTAAACTCGCTCAGTCATTCAGCCCAAAGACCCGCCTTAGACCTTGGAACTTCTTCTTCTTTCCGCTTCGGCCGTAGGAGACGGAACGGCCTTGGGCGTCAACAATGGGCGCTGAAACATTGGAGATAGCGCTAGACTGTCGGTTCGCGAAGCGCGGTCTGCGGGCCGTGACACCATCTGAACTCATTGGGCGGTCGTCAGTGCCAATGACAGGTGGAGGTTGAAGTGGCCATTCGGGAGTCTTTCTACGTTGTAGTTTAGGCGATCGAGGAGAGGTGGGTCTTGGGTCGCCGAATTCTTTGTCCTCGTCGATGGGCGTCATGGGATGCCCCAGATCGCGGTTGCGTTGTGTGGGTGGCAAAGGAATCTCATCAGACGCTGGAGCGTATTGCGCTGGCTCGGGCTGCGCCTGAACGGCTTGTGGCTGAGCACTAGTCTTCTTCTTTCCTAGGCCGAAGAAACCACGCTTCGACTTGCTCTTGCCAGCATCTCCAAACGAGGGCAAAGGCGCATGCTTGCTGTCACGCAAAGAGCCGGTGGAGAGGGCTGCGCCTTGTGCGCCCGAGTTACCGTTTGCGCCATTCGTCACTGGTGTAGCTTTAGGGACAACGTTTGTGGTTTCATCATCCGCTTCTTCCTCTAGATCGGTAGAGTCGCCATCCTCTTCGCCCGCTTTTCTAGGAATCCCTCGTACTGGCGCCAAACCTGGAGGCAGGGTGTAATCAGCAGGCTCATCATCGTCCGAGTCGTCAAATCGACTTTGGAAACGAGACGGTCGAGCGTCGTCTTCTTCGTCGCTTGAATCGGCGAAACGACTCTTGAACGCAGCTTTCGAAGCCTTGGCAGGTGGTGCCTTTTGTTTCGGCGCTTTAGACGGTTTAGGCGGCAGTGTCTGCTTGTTGAAGACGGGCATTGGCGGTGTAGGCGACGAAGGACGAACATCAGATCCTCTGCGGAATCTTCCCATTGGCGACAATGATCGAATGCTAAACTTCGATGACTTTACTGGTTCTGGCGTTGGCGAAGAAGGCCGCATAGATCTTCGCATGGCGGACGGTGTGGCTGGTGGAGAAATTGCCCGGACTTGCTTAGGTGCCGGAGCACTTGCTCGCATAGTGGGTGCAGGTTCTTGTCTCATTGAGCCGCGCATTGTATAGCGCCCACCTTGTTCCCGTCCTCCGCGCTTTCTGGCGCGTTCGCGTTGGAAACTGCTTACAGAAGCATCAGAGTCACTGTCGTATGTAGGTGCTGGTGCAGCCATCGGTTTCGCCGCAGGCATGCTCTGTGGTCTACCCTTGGAGACAGCAGCAGCAGGCGGGATGTTTCTCTTTTGGAGAGCACCTCGCGGAGGTTTGGTGTCCATAGGTACCATACTGTGTCGCGACGCTGCTAGACCCATGCTTGGTGCCGGTGAGGCATCCGCTGAACGCATACTTTGTCGCATCTGGGGCTGCGCTCTAGGAGTCGCGTCTGAGGGTCCCCGCATGCTCGTCCGCATAGTCGATCCCATCTGCGGTCCTGCTCGCGAAGCCGGATCTGAACCTCCTCGCATAGTTCGCTTCATATGAGTCTCAGAGGCACCTTCCCTCGGCGCTGCCGTCCGCAGGGTCGTCCTAGCTTGTGATTCAACTGGCCGCGCCGGCTGTGGTGCAGGGCTCTTCTTCAAAGCAGACTTGAGAGGTTTTGCCGGAGACTGATCAGCTGATGGAGTAGTAGTCCGTGGAGGTGGTATGGCTGTGACCTTGCGCTCTGGTGTTGCATCTGGTGTATACTCGCGTGAGGAAGATGGTGCTGGCATGTCTTTTGAGACTGGAGCCTGCATGACTCGAGAAATTACTTCCTGAGCATGTGAAGCTCGTTCAGGAGGTGCTTGAGTCTGCTCTAGCTCTGGGTTTGGCTTCTTTAAAGACGCGTTGAGACCACTCCAATGCTGTTGAGCAGCGTTCCAATCTTGCGTTGGTGTAGTATCCGAGTCGCGATGGTCGTCCACGGCGGTGTCTAGCTGGAGATTCGAGGTAGCCTTGTCTGTGGCATCTCCATTTGCGTATCTTGAAGACATCAACCCAGAAGAAGACGCGGCAACAGGCTTCTCCATCAGGGCGTTGATGCTGCCGAACCCTTCACCATCGGAGAGATCTTCGTAGGCGTCGCTGTAAACGCTGCTGTTATCGTCTGTGGTCTCGTCGTATTCTTCTGCCTGTGTAGTAGACTTCGGCTGTTGCGTTGTTGAGTCCAGAACGGGCGCAGACGTCGTGGAAGTCGGGTTGATTGTCTTCTTCTCGGCTTCAGGGACTTCCTCACCCCAACCCCCAGGTATCGTCATGCTCTGATACACGGGTTCAGACCTCTCGTACGGGCTAGGGGTGGCGGGCTGGAGTGCGATGTTAGGCACCTCAACGATTTGTTCCGTGATGGGAGCCGCCGCTGATGTTGTCTCTTCTTGTGATACGGACAATGACTTCGGCTCCGGAGCAGGTGGCTGTTGCGAAGTCTCCATGGGCCTATGGGTATCTGAGTAGTCGCTGGAGTCCGACACATAGCCACTCCCTTCGACAGTGGTGACATCGGGAGGTAGCGGGTCGCTGTGAGTTGCATGCTTTTGGGCGAAGTCCTCTGCGACAATGTTTCCAAGCGCGGTGTCACTAGAGGCGTTCGAAGTAGGGAACGTCTCGGTAACCTTCTCAGCCATGTTTTCCTGCGGTCGTCGCTCCTTCTCGCGTATACTACCGAACACTGGTAGAGCAGCGCGTGGCTTCATGAAGTCTTCGAACTCATCCTCCTTTTCGGCTATGGGACTCCACTTGGGCGCACCGGAACCTCCGAGAGGTGCCTCTGTATCACTAGCTTTGCCCAGTAGTACTGGTTCTTCCTCAAAACTAACACGAACGTTTTTCTTCTTCTTCCTGCCTCCGTCATCAGACCCAGTATCAGATGCTTCGCTCGGAGCGAAACGAGCGGAGAGACGTCCGTTTGCAGTCGCTGGCGAGCCGCCGCGGCGCGAAACCGAAGGCGAGCTCTTCAAGACAGACTTTGCAGGGGAAACTGAGCGCGGGAGCGGATCATGCTTGGTCCCTGCAAGTTCAACGGGTACAGCCGCAAAATGGGCGGTACGCGGTGGGCTCAGTGAAGCATTTCGGTCGTGCGCCTCGGGAAGACGGCCACGACCCTGGCCACTAACAGAACCTGCAGGTGTCGAATTGGCTGGAGTAGCCACTGGAGTAGCCAGGCGAGGATATGAGCTATCCTGGTTCGGAGCGAATTTGGGCGAAGCCACATCGTCTTCATGGCCAACTATAGTGCCATAACCAGAGTCTTCCAGTTTGCGACTGGTGTTTGCCTGCTCCTGGGGTGGGAAGTCGGCATCGACGAAATCATCAGAATGTCTTGTTTCGGTAGCTGCGTTGAATTGCGGTTCGAGAGCTTGCGTTACAGGTTCTTCTCGTCTCTGCGGTGCTTGTTGCTCCTGTCGGACATAGTGACGTATAGGACTTGGTGAGCCCCGGCCCATCTGGTTTTCAGGTATGTGGACCGAATGGAAGGTGTCGAGGTGCTGTGACACGTACCGCGGCGCAGGCTCCGGCTCTTCGTGTAGCTCTCGGTGACGGGCCATGGCATCCTGCTTATGGATGAACTTGCGCGTCGAAGGATCATAGATGGCATCTGGCGAGTTGGGATCGACTGGACGAGGAGCGCGCGGCGGCAGGTAGGATTGCGATTGTACAGCAGATCCAGATGGCTTGGCACGCATACTGCCGCTCGACAGTCTTGCGCCCTGAACACCCTGTGATAACTGGTGCGTCTTGACTGGACGCTCAGCAGCATTCTGGACGGACCGTTGGGCGTTCTGGAGATCATAGCTGGAGACGCCACTAGATGTCTTGGGTCGCGATGTCGAGGCCATGCGTTGGACTGCTTCTTGGTTTACGACCGGGCCACCGAACCATCCTTTGCTGGAAGGAGGCGAGGGGTTTTGACGTGTGCCTATTGCGCCCGGAGACATTGGACGGGAGAAGTTTACAGATCGCGAGGCGTCATCTTCCTCGGATACTTGGGCAAGATGGCTAGCAGGCCTTTGGCCTCTTCCGACGGGGTTGGCGCCCCTATCCAGGCTGACGCCTCGGCCTCTGCCTCCTGCTGGTGCTGGTGATCCTCCTCGATACGTGGGCTCCAGGCTGGACGCACGCCGATGAACGACGCTTCCCTGCTGTTGTATGTTCTTTGGCACAGGCGGGACTGGCGGCGCATCGGCGTCAGCTGGACTCCCTCTGCCAGGCGATGGCGCGCGGAATGAGCGCTCTGTCATGGAGCCTGAGCTCGACTGTCGGCGCAGGCCAGGGGCACCGGGCTGTTGTCTCGAGAAGCTGCCGTTTGACGAAAGTGAGCCGCGGCGCACCATGCGCTTTGTGACTGTCTCGCCCACGGGAGTCGGCGTCGTTACGTGGGTGCGCAAGGCGGCAGCGGCGGCTGCAGACGAGAGGTCGCCATGTGACTCGGCATTCTTTATAAAAGCTTTCGAGGCGGCAAGCGAGGCGGATGCGCTGGGTGGAGGGGCTCGTTGGGGCTGCATCGGGCAAGAATTGTTAGCATCGCGTCGCCAGAGGGCCTGCTGAGCGCGACACGAGGTTTGCGCGCGCACCCAAGGCGAGTACCTACCGGATTGGACGCTGCCCGTCGTCGTTTCCCGAACATTGTGGTGTGGTGAATTAGAGATTACGGCAGTTACGACTGGTTCTGCATTTCCGTGTGCATGCGAGGGTGCGGTGGCTTCGGAGATGCAGCAAGGGTCGTCGAGATGATGTCACGTCTGCAGGGCGGAACCGTGCGGATTGATTGAAGTGAAAGAGAGTGGACGGCTACTCGCGTCAAACCACCGAAAGAAAAAACAAATCACAGGGCGCAGGTGAGTTGGGGTCTTCTCACGTGTGGAGGGATTGGAAATTGAAAAGGGCTCGAAGACGCATCTGGGCGGAGTGGACTTGTTGTAGCTAGCAAAACAAGTAAGAGGATCGTCATCTTCCCGGACATCTCAAAAGCTTAGGCCGACCTTCTGGCGCCGCAAAGGTAAGCCTCGCGCCGGCGCCATTTGCTACCGTCGCAAAAAAAAGTGTCAAACGCTTCACCGTCTCATCCAGACGTCAAACATGCGTCGTTGTCGAGGGTGAGGCTGTCGCGTGTGTCAGAGACAGCGTGGCTTTGCCCTGCCAGATGCAGTCTAGACGTGCCTCAGACGCAGCTATGTTTTGTTTATTTTCGCCCTCACTCCCTGTCTACACTCTCGTCCATCCTCCAAACGCGCACGCACTTCTCCTGACGCTTTGCACCACACGGTCCCTGATTTGTACCTCTCCAGCTAGTGGCCCTGTCGAAGCACCAGCACCAATCTGGCCAGTTCCATGTCCGGCGCCACTGACGTATGCGATATCTCCACGAAGCCGTCGTAGCGCCGGCTGGGGTCCGCGGTTTGATTCGCAAATATATTCCAAAGCATAGCATGCTCACTGGTCGGTCATCGCCGTTTGCCAGTCACACGTCGCAAAGGCAGCAACGTACTACGACAGAATCAAGGCAGCTCCAACTTGAACAACACTCGATTTGAACATTGACAACATGTAACGCACATGTTTGCGTCAGAACCTATGTGGGTTCTATGATCGCCGAACTGGCCCACTCAACGCTGCGAGATCGCCCAGGCCGCATATCTTCCCCGCGCTAATAGCATCGTGACGATTTCCAAGGTTGCCAACATGGCCAGCTTGCCATTCTATCGAGTAGGGATCACGTGAAAACATACCACACCTCAACGCCTGTCACTGCTTACACCTTGTCTTGATCTGCATACGTGTAGCATTTTCTTAGTATGGCGTCGTCAGCGTCGCGCCTTCCGCCTCTGCCACTACCAGACGGTATCGTCGAGAACTACGTCTACTGCCCCTCCAATGGCCTTACTTTTCACACACTCGAAGCTGGCTATACTCCGCAACGCGATAAGCCTCTGATAATTCTATGTCATGGCTTCCCAGAACTCGCCTTTTCTTGGAGGAAGGTCATGGTGCCTATCGCTGAGGCAGGCTATTATGTGGTAACCTTTGATCAGCGAGGATACGGGCGGACAACTGGCTGGGACAACTCTTCCTACTCCAACACAAACTTATCGCAGTTTGCTCTGACCAACGTGGTTCGCGATGTCGTGACCCTGGTCAATGCTCTGGGTTATCGAGAGGTCAAGTGCATTGTTGGCCACGACTTTGGTGCCGTCACTGCAAGCATGTGTGCTTTGATGCGTCCGGATTTCTTCAAGAGCGTTGTCATGATGAGTCATCCTTTCAAAGCGCCCGCGCTCTTGCCATTCGACATAGCCCACGGTGACGGTGAGACTGACGGACACGCGCCACAGCCGGACATCCACGCTGAGCTGGCAAATCTGCCTGTGCCGAGGAAACATTACAAGTGGTACAACAGTACCAATAGAGCTGCAGGCGATTGGCTAAACCCAAGCCAAGGATTGCATGCTTTTCTCAGAGGGTATCTTCATGTCAAGTCAGCTGACTGGAAAGAGAACTCGCCTCACCCTCTTAAGAGCTGGACGGCTGAAGAGATGGCTAAAGTACCCAACTACTACGTTATGCCGTTGCACAAGTCAATGCCTGATACCATTGCTGACATGATGGTCAACCAAGATAGCTCGGCAACCGAACGGTGGATGCCTGATCGGGATTTGACAGTCTACGTCCAAGAATGGTCACGAACAGGCTTTCAAGGTGGCCTCAACTACTACCGAGTTACCACTGATCCGAATAATATGAGAGACCTCCACCTGTTCGCGGGCAAGAAGATCGAATGTCCGAGTACCTTCATCTCAGGCGCTAAGGACTGGGGCAACTATCAGCAACCTGGGGCCATCGAGGCCTATCCCGAGTCATGCTCCGACTTTAGAGGGGTCCGGTTCATCCAAGGTGCAGGACATTGGCCTCAACAAGAGCAGCCGGAGAGTGTTGTTGAAGAAGTACTAGGATTCATTCGCTCTCTTTAAGTGGGTTGCAGTTGCGACGTGTACAGATGTCTGCAGATACATGCGATCCTATCGATTTATCAACTCTTGCGTCTCCATATTACCTGTATTGTTTCGGGCTGAATCCAGCCACCTACTAAGGGCATCCCTTCCACATCGGCTCATCATCTTGTTGAGGTCGCTACGCCGCCACGCCGCAATTCCTTCTCATGCTTCTCAGCAAGAGCTGCTGTCCGGTCGCTCCCTATTGCCCGGCATTCGGGCCCGCAGCCAGATCCGTAGTCAAGCACTGTCGGTATTGTGGTATTAGGAAGCTCTATAGTCGAGATCCACTATTATCACACGCTAAGCTACGCAATGCAACGTCAGTGATACATTAAGACACCACAAACGGCGCAAAACGTCAAGCCAAACGCTTATCCAATTTTGCGCAGGTTATTTCCACTCAAAATATGACCCGGAGCTCTATTTCAGGTCGACAGGAGACGTACATACATGTGCATTATAATGATAGCGAAGACGACTTTGGGGTCCGATCGATCGGAGGATTTGAAACGAGCTGATAATGTCTTTGTATTTAGAAGCTAGAGCTAATTGCGAGTACATCGGGGCTCGCTTGGCTGCGGCAATGCGGCGTGGGCGTCTATTTCCCCTGATTTCGTATGCAGCTCGCGGCAGTGCTGACTCGGCGCTAGAGCCGTTTCCTGATGATATGTGCTTGGCACATCATCCATCATCAACGTGCAGCGTACACTTGCCTCATTGTGGATTACCAGATTATGAGATGGGCAGGATAGCACTGTATAAGTTGGAAGGACGGGACGAGGCGATCGTGCAGTTGTGCACAGGGGACTTTCACTGATTCGCAAAAATGACCACCTCTACTACAACTCCTTCAGTCGCTTCTTCCCGTACTTCACCAGTTCCTTTTACCAACTCTATTGCAAAATTGCGTCAATCGGTCGAGTACTGCCGAGAGATCACGCCCCATAGCCGTCGTAGCGTTTCCCTCGATCACAATCAGCCTCTTATTCATGGCACATGCGCTCATGTCATGCCCAGTGTGGTCCGGCCAATCGACAAGTCAAACACTTCATTAGATTCACTCGATCAGACCCTCGACAGCTGTTCTGTTTCGGACGTGTCTGAAGATGGACACGCCGATACCAACAACCCCAACGAAGCCAAGACCTACCGAAGTAGTCGCCAAGACACGTACGATCCTTTGGACGAGACATGTTATCAGAAACCGTACCATATGCCACAGGAAACGCATAGTAAATCGAAGAAGTCTCCGCAGACAGAATACGTAGAGGTCTATAAAGGGCCACTGCTGAAGCCTGTTGACGAGAAGAACATTGGCATCAAATCATCAGTGACAGTGTCTTCACACGCTCTATCGTCCACGGGGTCTCTGTCATCGGCGGAGACCAGACCTCGACAACGAGTTCTAAGCTTTTACCTTCATTGGTTCACAGCATATCGGATACTCATCGGGCTCACCTTTCTAGTTAACGTCGTAGTGTTCATTGTGCACATTAGAAAAACTCGCCACGAGCATTTTGCCCTTTCTGGACCTCTAATCGCTACGGCCGCCAATATCTTCGTTGCCGTCTTTGTGCGTCAGGAGGACCTCATCAACGTAAGCTTCTCCTTCGTAGCCAAAACACCAGCTAGCCTGCCGTTATGGCTCCGGAAGACGATTGCAGACTTTCACCACTACGGCGGACTACACATTGGATGCTCCGTGGCAGCACTGCTATGGTACTGTTACTTTGTGTTCCTTAACACAAATTTCGTTCTCGACACTGTAAAGCAGGACAAGGCTACGGGCTGGATGTGGGCCGACATCTTCACTTGTTACGCCTTCCTCCTATCCATCCTAGTCGTCTGTATTCTAGCACTCCCGCGTCTCCGAGTGAGGTTTCACGACACGTTCGAACACACGCATCGCTTTGGTGGATGGGCAGCATTACTAGTACTATGGATAAATGCAGGCGTAGCTAGCAATAACCCGGGCAGTTCACCTCTCTATGCCAACGCCGCTCTCTGGCTCCTAGCCTCGACAACCTTTCTCATAATCCTACCATGGACCCGCATCCGCCGCGTACCCATAACCGCCGAAGCTGTTTCAAGCCGCGAAGTCAAGCTTACATTCCCTTACCAAAATATGCCCTATACTTCCACAACCCGCTTCTCACTATCCCCGCTTCTCGAATGGCACGCCTTTGCCACGATCCCTATCCAAGCCTCATCTACACCAACCATCTCCTCCGCATATATAGTCATCTCGGCAGCGGGTGACTGGACAAAGTCCATCATCACCTCCCCACCTACTCACATCTGGCTTCGCAAACCTGCCACCAAAAACTTCCTCTCCTTCGCCCCATTGTTCGACTCCCTCCTCCTTATAGCCACAGGCGCAGGTATCGGTCCCTTGCTCTCCCTTTTGAGCTCACCAGCTATCGCACATATGCGCGAACAGGGCAAGCAGGTTAGGGTCATGTGGGTTGTGTATGATCCTAATGCGGAGCATTGGGGGTTCGCGCAAGATATTATACGGAGAGTGGATCCGGAACCGAAGATCTTTGACTCTAGGGAAGGGAGGCCCGATGTGGCGTGTGAGGCAGAGGTTATGAAGAAAGAGTGCGAGTTGGAGGCTGTTATGGTCGTTAGCAATCCGAAGGCTACAAGAGAGGTCGTCGAGAGGATCAAGGGGAACGGGGGTGCGGCTTACGGGGCTGTGTTTGACTCTTAGGGTTGGCGTTGTACTGACCGGGTCGCTGAGTGCTTATTCGTTATGTTTTCATGTGTCTATTTTGGTTGTTCAGCCTCAGAAGCCGAGCTCTTTTCAGTTGGGTGGGTTGGCGAACCGACCCTTCATAGCATTTATTATGGCGTTCTTAATGGACGCAGGCGTGTGTCCATATCGTTTAACCGTCAAACTTAGCCGCGTAAAGCCCTTACAAGGTTCTACTATGATACTCTGATACCAATATTTTCAGAAGCACTGTTGAAAGTTCATAGTATAAGGTGTAGATGTGTGCGGATCGTTGCAAGTACGCGATACATGTTTGCACGACAGTTTCTTCGAGCTGAAGAGCCATCTTATCATTCTTCAACCACCATTACCATTAACACATTAACCTAGTAGCCAAAAAGTACAAGTCGTTCCTCTCCCTTACTCATCATCCACGCACTCCTGGTATCAAGACATCTGACTACACCCGTCCCCCTCACAACCGCCATTGCATCACACCGCTTAAACCATAAGCGCAGCAAACAAGCCTCCAAACACACCGACGACTACGGAACCCATCGCCATGTTTGCTGCCGCGGCACCAGTGAACTCCGGCATGTTACCCGAAGCGGTCGCGCTGCCCATCATTCCTGATCCAGACATCATGATGATGCTTGGCTTGGTCTCGTTACTGCCAGCGGCACAGGACGGCACGGCAACAGCGGAGCGTGTCACCATTACATCGGCAGGGGCGGCGGAAGGGCAGCCTGGGTGGACTGTGAGGGTGGATGTTACGGCGGGAGATTGGCTGTGGCGCGTTAGTTGAGTTGACTATGACCGAATTATAGAAAAAAGAGGAGGTGCTAGGAAGGATAGAGAGCTTGCTTACGCCGAGACGGTGCTGGATAGCACGATAGCAGTGCTGAGAACGGATGCTGAGAACTTCATATTGAGAGTTATAAGGTGCGAAGGCCGGTGATTAGATGGTGGCGTATGTAGTATATGTTACGACTACAAAAGAATGTACGACGACTTTTAGAATTTGAGGGAATGGAAAGAGAAGAAACGGTAATCGAACAGCGCCTATGCCGCTTCTTTGTATCCACACCTGGCGACTTACCTCCATCATGCGCACAGTTCACCTCCTTAGTTCTTCCTCCCGAGGTTGATTCCAGTTTCTACCTTAGGATATATCGAACGCGGCAGTTCTACTCCAAGTGAACCAATGAACTACTAGCACATTGTCCTACTCGCCTCCCAAACAAGCTACAACTCACTTCCACAACTTACTAGAACCCCTTCATTTCGAACAACCGTTGGCAAGTGGCAAGATCACAACAGAACGGCCCGGCCAGTTGTCCAAGTCTCATCGGGTTGTATGTCTTCCGAGAATACATTCATCCCAAGGTCACGTCCCCACTCTATCAGACACAGATGCAGCAGAGTTGAGTGTTGATCAACGGGCAAGAAGTTGCCGAATTTCAAAGGCGCGGGAGGGAAAGAAACACTCACGGCTGTTAGAACCAAGCTAACGGTCTAAAGTACGGAGAGACTGTGTGCCGCCGGTAGTTGGGTAGGGCGGCTAGGTGGTAAGACCAGTGGGTTGTAATTTACCTGGCTAGTTCAAGGGTAAATGGAATGTGGAGGCGGGAAGTTCCGTTTGTATTTCGAAAGTTCCTGTACTAACGAACGGTGCTGGTTCCGGGAGTGCGTTAGCCTTCGACGTTCAAGTTTGTAACCAGGCTGGCGGTCTAGCAGGGTGTAAAGAATCGTTATTGGAATGATAGTTTGTTCCATTAGCGTTTCTATGCATGCACAACAAGGGGAGCTTAGGAAAAGACAGAAGGCGCAATCGCTTTGTAGTTGCTCCCTACCTTGGTGCAAACCAATTGCTTCCTCTTGCAGCTTACGTTCTCTAAACATCCTTTCTCGACATAGTCTTCCACATCCGCCGACATTGCCCCTCGGAAAGTCACCTTTCCATAGTAACTCCAACGCCTTCCATGTCCTCCGGTCGTAGATCCCGTCGCGATTAAGCCACTGCAGAGAAAAAAAGCTTCAACAGCACGTGTAGTCTGAACGGGAAGAAAAGCTGACAATTGTAAGTTGTTGTCCCCTGACTAAAATGGTCATGATTAGCTGCGTGCTAGAGCGGTCTTGGTATAGTTGAGCCCGTTGTGTAGTAGCGCGACGTCATTCTTGAGCTTAACCGTCCTAGCGCCATATTCGGATGGTGAAGGTTCCGTGGTACACAACATCACTAACCTGCCGCGATTTTGCGGGGAATGACTCTTGGACCCTTGCTGTTACTCGCTTCCTTCTTTCCAAGGCCTTACTCTCGTCTAGAAGTAGTAATCAAGGTCGTTGGTCTCTACCTGATCGGGACGACGGTGGATCAGTTGGTGAGGTTAGGCTGATCGGGGTCTTAGCTGCCCTGGTGCTTGGGCTGTGAGATCGCGACTGGCGCCGGATGGAATCATGTCCGTCTACGGGAGTTCGTGCCTAGCTCAGGCTACGGAAGATGATGATGAGATTGGGATGGGCGAGCTCGAAGAGGGGTAGTAAGCTTTCAGTCTTGTCTTTGCGGGAGATGAGGAAGGAGAGTAATGGTAGGTATAAGATGGAATGGTTTTCGCCAAATTGAAAGAATTATCTCACAGCATCTCAACTACTACTCTGAGCATCTCTACTACACATTCTCTTGTACTCATTACTCGATTACTCGATTTTAATATCCAACCATCAAAATGAAGTCCACCATCTTCTCCATCGCTGCCCTTGCGGCTGTCTCTACTGCTGCTCCCGTCAAGCGTGCTGATGGCCCATCCGACGGCGAGATTCTCAACTACGCCCTTACTCTCGAGCACCTCGAGAACACCTTCTACGCCCAGGCCCTCGCCAAGTACAGCGTTGAGGACTTCAAGGCCGCCAATTTCTCCGAGGAGACCTACAACCGCATCATGACCATCTCGGGCGATGAGAAGACTCACGTTGAGTTCCTGACTGGTGCGCTCAGCGCTGCTGGAGCCAAACCCGTCGAGGCCTGCACCTACGACTTCGGATACAAGGACGTTGCCTCCTTCCTTGCCACTGCCAGCATCCTCGAGGGTGTTGGTGTCAGCGCCTACCTCGGTGCCGCCGCAGACATCATGTCCAAGACCTACTTGACTGCCGCTGGATCCATCCTGACTGTCGAGGCCCGCCACTCTGCCTACGTACGCAACACCATCAGCGAGTCGCCCTTCCCCGCTCCCTTCGACAACCCGTTGAGCTACAACGAGGTCTACACACTCGCTGCGCAGTTCATCAAGTCCTGCCCAGAGACCAACGCTCCTCTGCCCGTCAAGGCTTTCCCTACCCTTGCTGCCTCCGCATCCGACGGAAGCATGATGATCAAGGCTGGCAGCAAGGTCACTCTCAAGACCTCTGGATACAAGGTTGACGGCAAGGTCTACGCTGCTTTCATCACTGTTACCGGCCCTGTCTTCGTTGACGCCATGGAGGTCGACGGTGGATTCGAGGTCATGGTCCCCGAGAAGGGTATTGCTGGACAGAGCTACGTTGTTCTCACCAGCTGCAACACCGCTGCCACTGATGACACCATCATCGCTGGCCCCGCCGTTGTTGAGGTCATGTAAAGTGGTTGTCTCATGAGCAGACCTTGTAATCTCGAGTAATGTCAGCTGTGACACATTGTAGTTATGATAGTAGTAGTACTCTTAAATTCTAATTTCTAGTCCCAACTTTGCTCGCGTCTTTGGAACTGGTGAAATCTCTACATTGCTTTGACACTAAAAAGAGGTGCATGACCTATGTGGGAGTGGTCGTCACCTGGCTGTTGATTTGCAGTGCTTGTGAATTTTGCAATTCATCGTGCAATGTGATTGTAATAGCTTTGTTATGTTGCTGGAAGCTATGATCGATCACTGCGATGCTGTGATTACGATGCTTCGACACGCCACCCCACATAGTTGCCAAAACACTTTGGTATTTCAAGCATTACGTATGTTCTAATACATCCCTCTTTCTCGACTGGAATTGGGCTTCGCAGCACACCCTACTGCTCGTTTGCACGCATGCTTTCTACATTGTAGGCGCTACATAGCCCTTTCGATCACTCAACACCGATTCACCAGATACCACACTAAAGGCGACCAGACCCAACAGCTTGACACAAATGATCACACCTGCCTGCTCTTTCTCCGCTTCTACTTACTACGCATGCAATCGCCATGCCAGTGGATCCAGCTGACGCCACCCCTCATAACCAGATGAACACATACCCGCGATAGGGCCAATCTTGACGCAATCGGATGACGCGGCCTCAGATACCGAAAGAAAGAGAAAGAGAATAAGACACAAAGGATACGTCTCTTGCATTTATTTATTTCCGCACATGCTCTATCTACAAAATGCTTTTCTCTCAAACATTTTCCCTCCTTATTACACAAAGCGCAGAGGGAGAAAAATGCAGCCCGAAGCCTGAGCCTGGGTAGAGACTTGCCCAAAATCCACCAGATACACACAATAGAGCCAGCCGGGTTCCAACATATTCCCGGTAATCGTATATATACACAAGTAGAGGGCTTCCTTTCCCTCCAGAGATTATCCAATGCAAAATTCCTAACATGTCTCGATGTAGGGCCCAGACAGGTAGACACCCCATGATATCCGATGGTAGGATTTCAGGCCCGCGTAAAAGAAAAGGAAAAGGGTACAATTGCGCCCTGGATATACAGAATTCGCGGAAAGAGATCGGTAGAGCGGTCGAGAAAGAGTCGCCGCATTGATGCCGAAGATGAAAACGCCCGCCAACGCCATGCCGTCATGCAAGAACTCGTGATGAGAATGAATGCTATACGCGCTCGTCTCGTATCTAATTGTCGTACGTCGAGGGTAGAGATTTGCCGCCGCAATCGGGAATCTTGAGGCCAGACTTGAGGTTGCGGTTGATATCCATGAGACCCCATTTGTCTTCCCACTCTTTGCCCTTTTCGTTGTACTGAATCTTCCATGGCTCGTCAAATGCTGAGAACCTGCAGATATACGTTAGTGACGGTGCGTCAACGAACGGCGATGCAAACACTTACCAGAAATACTCTGTTCCGTTTGCCAGACTTGGGCAGACCCAGTCTTCCATGAATTGGTTCATCTCATCAATCCCAGCAACGGATCCTCCGGCGCAAGTATCGGCTGCACCACAGTCAGTGCCGCCTCCGGATGGCCAACCAACTTCTGCGATGACCTGGTGTATGCCGTTTTGGCTCGCAGTGAGAGACACGTCATGGGTTTGCCAGAAGTTCCAGGTCCAGGCGGCCGCCTCGCTGACGTCAACACCAGCAAAGAAGGGATGAACGTTTGACATGACAATATCGACCTTGGAAGCCATGTCGGCAGTCCAGTTGTCACCTAGATCGGCCATGGCGACAGGCAGCTGGCAGCTGTGGTCCGAGATGTTCTTGCGGAAATCGGTAATGTGACCGAGTAGCTCGGTTTCCGTCAGGTCTTTGCGGTAAAGCACCTCGTTACCGATGATGATACCCTTGAAGTAATCGCAGCCGTAGTCGTCGAGAATGTCCCATGTTTGAGCGATCTGTCGCTCAGTAGTAGTATCGTTCTTGTCGAGCCAAACACCGAGCCAAATCTTCATGGTGTCCTTGATTTCCAAGCGGTCAATAGCATGGATGAGCATCTGAGTCTGGTTACAATCGGTACCATACAAACGGACTGAGTTGGTCAGTTGCGACATGACAGCCAAATCTCGGGTGATGTTGTTTTGGGATGGTCCGACGTGGAGACAGTCTGGGTATTGTGTGTTGAGTGGAGTGTAGTCCATGCCTGGGAAGACCTTGTGCAGATCAGCGTTGTTCATCAAGGCCTTGATCTCATCAGAATCCTTGCCAAGATCCTCCTTGTTGTCTTTGGCGACATCTTGAGAAGATTGCTCAGCTTCGGCCTTGCTAGCGTCGTGACCTCCGCCCTTGCCGATAGTAGCACCTAGGACACCACCAAGAATAGCACCCAAGAGAATGAGAGCAATGATAGAAATGGCGATCCACATTCTCTTCTTCCGCTTCTTCAAGTCGTCTTCGGCTTTCCAGCTGGCGATCTTTTCTGGCATGAGTTCTCCACTTCCGTTGACCATGGGCACGGCATCGTACTTGGTGCCGTCTCGCGACGACGAGGCAGTGAAGGCACCAGCGCCTGCGGCAGCACCAACAGCTCCGTGGTTTATTGACGATCCCGGAGAACCATTGCGACTGCTGCCGTCCCGCGAGCCACCAAATGGCACGAAAGAGCGTCGCTTGTTCTGCATAGAGTTGTGGTCTGGGCCCATTCCCCAGTCGTCATCGTTGTCGACTTCGTGTGGGTTGATTATGCCCATCTGGGGAGCGAGGTTCTGGGCAGACGAAGAGTAGCGGTTGTAGGGCGTGTCGTTGTAGGGGGCGCCGCTGTGAGGAGAGTGGGGCATGCTGTGCAGGGAGCTGTCACTCGAGTACATGCCAGCGACCAGCGGTGCGCCTGAGCCGTAGGAACGATTCGAGTACATTGGACGGGGCACCATGGGCTGGTCGTAGCCATTCGGGTCGTTGAAGGGTGAGGACTGCGAGTTCCTGTTGGGTACGCCCATGGGTCGTCCTGGGCCTGGCATACCTCTCGCGGCCTGCATGCCGCTCTCGCGTGGGTGGTTGCTAGCGACGCCGTTGGCGATGCCGTTAATACCGCCGCCAGCGGCTGTGTCGCCCATGTTGTCAGAGCCTGGAGTGACGCCTGGAGTCGAGTAGTCGGAGTAGTTGTTGGGGTCGGTATACTGTCGCTGCTGGTGCATACCCACGGGGGTGCGATGAACAGGCGGAGGCGGCGGATTGTCGTCGGACGGTAGGGAGTCTGGCTGCTGTCCTAATGGCCAAGCCTGGGGTTGCTGGAAAGCCATTGTGGGTGCTTGTTTGAGGTTTTCTTACACACCTCGCGTCAAAAGGCGAAAACGACAGGCGGGCGCGGGCAACGCTCGGAAGTGGTAGCGGACGGCGGCGCGCCGCTCTGATGATCGCGATGGGCGGACTATGGCTGGGCCTGGCTAGTGGTTGGGGGCGCGGGACACGCTTGGTCGAGGGTTTCTTCTTCGTAGGAGCTGCAACGCAAGGGCCCGACAAAAACGAGAGAAAAGGATGATGCAGCGTTTCGCAGAGGCGCAATTGTGGAGAGAGAGCAGTCGTGTGGCCGAGTTGATGCAGGTGTGTTAGTCGGGTACACGGCTCTGGCACGACAGAGGCTGACGGATTGGCTGCGCTAGCCCGCAAGATTCACCCAGGAAACCACCAGCGAACCCACCTGTGACGTCTCCGCCAATGCACCAGCCTCCAAACAGCCTCAACAGGTTTTCGCCGTGATAAGCTGCTGCCGTTGCACATACCGAGCACGCGCGCCTTTTCGCAGAACCGACCATGGCCCTTTTTGCTTTCTCGGTCGTATTCTGCTTCTCTCTCAACTCTCTCATCTCTCATCAATTCACTCCCGTATCAGGATCAACACGGTGCCTGCCTGTTGCTGCGCTGTGATCCATCGCGCCTGCCTGTGCGCCCAAAGTAGGCAGGCGCGATATAGCCTCACCAGAAACAAGCAGTCGCAGCGAGGCCTTGGCGCTACCCACGGGAAGCCGCATCGACAACGGCGCGAACAAGGGTTGGGCCATAGGCAATCTCCCATATCAGTTGCATCTTTATTGCCGCGCATCCTCTTTGGTGTCTATCCCTTTCATCCCCTGCTCGACTGCACGCCTTGCCGTCTATCCTGCATAGTCTCTGCTGCTTCGAGCTTCTGTCAACAACGTCTTTGACTTCACCACGTTCCACCATTAGCTCCTCGTGTCAGCCGCTACCGCAAACGGCTCCACTCGGAAATCTGGAGCGACCTACTTTAAGCCTGTCTAGTCTGCATAGCATAGCCTCAACTTTGCCATATGTTTGCCATCGCCCATCGTGTTTCCTCTTTTTATTCCCGCACTCGCATCTTTTGCTACGAGGTCCGAGTCCGTTGTCTCAGCCACGGTCGTCATGCGCGACATCCATTGCCCTTGTAGCCATCTGATCGCTGTGGTGAAACACAAACACCAGATCGCCATCCGGCCCGGCTGATAAGACATGTTGTGCTCACCACTCGATCCTACCCCGCGCCCTTGGGCGAATCTCGTTCCGCCGTGCATACGAGCGCCGCGTCAGCGTCAAGTCATCCTACCGGACTTCAGCAGAAGCAGATACTTGTTTGGCTCAACTGTCAAAAATGCGCGCCAGCCTTCCAGCCTCTTGCATGCTGCATATGGTACACGTACCACGGTCACGTTTCTGCAGCCAAAATATTGGTTTGCATGCACCATGCCTCGCAACATACATTAGTACCTTTGCACGTACACTTTGACATCTACTACAGTTGCAGCGAGCTAGGCTTCAAATGCGAGCCGGAAATTAATTGAACATGGTCCATCTGGGCAACTGTGGCGATTTTGCGCCCAAATAAATTCAACGACTGTCACGTACCCCAGCAAGTATTATCTCTTAAACTTGGAATTCATTACACCGTGTACATACATGGTACAGTGTATGCTAGATCACCAATTGCAGCTAGATGCCGGTTGAGCGCCTCTATGCCGAAGATGCACACATCGCGCGAACTCTTCCTCATACGTAGGTAGAGGCTCAAAGGAGCTCCATCTGCTCAACATCAAGATACATCAAATACCATATCTCGGCGCAATAAGCTTCCGGTCGCATCCACATCTGACGATACCATTGGACTCAAGTTGTTGGACGCCTCATCTGGTCTAAACTCATCAGGTCCGCTGGCGCATGATTTTCCTAATCCGGACAACCACAATGGTAGAATCAAGCATTCAACCATCACGAAGAATGGGGAGTAGTAGCATCTGTATACATATAAATATCATTCCCTTGGCAACTTAACTATGCTCTCCCTACAAAAGTCAAACTGTCCAAGCAATGCCATCCCGCGCCCAGATTCACGCTACCCTTACCACACTACCCACCGGTCCCCCTCTTGTCATCGCCATCATAGGCGGCACATCAGGCATTGGATCATACACAGCAAAAGCATTCGCCTCCGTTTACCGCAACGCCGGATCCAAACTTCGCGTCTACCTTGTTGGTCGCGACGCCTCACGCGCAGAGGCCTTACTCACAGATGTGCGCTCGACGAGTCCAGGTTCAGAATGGCGGTTCTTGAAAGCGAATGATCTGGCGATGATGAGCGATGTCGATACCGTGTGTGCGCAGATCAAGCGGTACGAGGAGGAAGAGCCGTTGAAGGGGGGAGGACCGAGGATAGATATGTTGTACATGAGTCAAGCGTTCTCACCTTTAGCACCATCCGGTCGTGAGTTTTCTTCTACTTTTTACTACCAGATGAGAAACTGGAGCATAGTCGCATAGTAACAACAAAAATTTCCATATGCTAACATCAACAATCAACCCTCCAGCAACAAAAGAAGGACTAGACACTCAAATGTCTCTCCTATACTACTCCCGCATCCGCTTCATTCTCAACCTAACCCCACTCCTCTATCGCTCTCAAAGCCCATCAGGCGCCCACGTAATATCTATTTTCGCAGGCACAATGGAAGACCGCATCGATGCGAAAAACCTCCCTATCGGCCCACCGCCGCCCAAGAAATACGGCGTCACATCGGTCCGCACGCACGTCTCTTTTATGAAGACGTATCTTTTCGAGGCCCTGGCCGAGAAACACGCTGGCAAAATATCTTTTATTCATATTTACCCTGGGCTAGTTGACGGGCCAACGTTCTTGAGTCCTGTGAATCCATTGTGGTTCCGTATTTTGTGGCGTGTAGCCAAGGTATTGATGGCTTGGTACATGACGAGTCCTGAGGTTTGTGGGCATGTCATGGTGTTTTTGGGGACTGGGAGATATCCTGCACAGGGCTTAGGTGTTGGGGCGGATGACGGCAAGGGTAATACGAAGAGCGATAAAGAGGGAAATGATGTGGCATTCAGTAGTATGGGAGAAAGAGGCGGTGGAGCATATGCTGTCGGTCAGAGGGGTGATGAGAAAAAGGAAGTTAGTTATGCGAAGCTGAGGCAGAGTGACACTAGGGACAGAGTGTGGAAACATACCATGGGTGTGTTGGAAGGTGTTCAAGGATTGGCAAGATAGTTGGATGGTGGGGCTGTGTTCGTAATGAAACGTCTTTTGTAAATGAACCATGAAAAAGAAACCGTGAACACATGAAACGTCGGAACATGGAAGGGGTATCTTTCTGCATTGCAGCACTTCTTATCTCAGGCTTTTCTTCTTCTGCTACCTGTCGTGAGCCTATCCCATACCGCAATCATCACTGCCAAAAATACTCCCAATCTTGCGCCACACCACTATTGAAGGCATCGTTGCCATTGTACAATTCAGCTTGAAAGTTCGTAAACTCGGCAGCTAACCCAGGAAAGTCGCTGAGCCATTGTTCAGCTTCCTCAGAAATGTTTGGTGTAGCGCGACGCTCAGGTAGCGATGGATTAAGTGCCAGTCCCGGTGTGATGGGGTTGCTATTGATGGTAATATGCGACATGGGTGTTGCGGAAGTTCGTATGCGCGGTAACGGTTCAGTGTACTCGTCTTGTCGATGTCGATAATGGTTACTTCGGAGCTCATACTGCAGTAATTGATCGACACAAGCCGCCATTGTTCTCGTGGCGGTTAGGTGGAGCTCATAGGTTCTTTCTGGACATGGATCCGGTAACTGCACCCACTTCAGCACCAGAGAGAGGAAGATGATGTCTTTCAAATCACTTCCTTTGCGCCCCATTCTCGCGATGAGAGATCTAATGGTATTTTGCACAGTTGCAACAAGTGCTTGTTCATGATGTGCGTGCATTTGCTGCTCTGGGTGCTGGCAAATTTGTTTGATGCGCTGGCATATCATAAGAGCTGCCCACAAAGTGTCTGTTTTGCACGTATAATAGTAAAAGTCTTGCTCCGATGATGGTCCATCAGCTGCTTCTTTCAAGATTGGAGGATTATAGAAATCCTGATAGGCGAGTATGGCTAGCGATGAATCGATGCAATGTAGCCAGACTTCTTTGGTCGCTTCGGGATTCCCCTGGTCGTTATAAAGGAGTGGTTTGTACAAGCAGAAAAGCGGTCGCCGAAGGTACAGATCGAGAAGAACGCGATGCAGTAGATCACCTCGATCACCAGGCATTAGTTGACTGCGGTGCAAGCTGAGGATCGAGGGTTTGGAAACTAAGCACTTTTCGACTTTCCTCCCTATTTCGATTGCCTCGTTCGCATCAGGTGTCGAGCGCTGCACAAGCGAAAGAGCCTCGAACCGCTGAGGAAGAGATGTAGCAAGGTAAACCTGGTATACAGTGTCTGTGAGATCGCTGAGTGGGCGCGAAGCGGGTATCTTTGTTGAAGATTCATCGAAATCCTCATCGTTCAAATTTGTCGGTACTGGATTGTAATTGTCGAGATCAGGAGCTATCAAGGGCATTCCTCCCATCATTGACGCTTGTAGGTCGATTTCTAGAATGGTTGCCCACAGCCGCTTTCGCATCTCCTTCTGATAAAGTGAAATAGACTTTATGTTGGCCGGATCCCAATGTAAGCCAATCATCATAGCTGAGCGTACAAGAGCGCCACTAGAACGCCAAAGCGTCTCTGGCTTTCGAACGCTACTGGAAAATAGCACAAGTATCTCGACTTGAAGGGTTGATAGCTCGGTCCTCTGTTTTCGTCCAAGTTCGTCGAGCCATGCTTCGACAGAGTTGATAGCTGTCTCTTTTAGATAAAGTGTATGGGCTTCGTACTCGTTGGCGTTTGTTGCGTTATCCAGCAAGTAAGCTCTGGTCATAAGGCTTGTAAGCTGTGCGATGATGCTGGACGAGGAGCCGATCTCGGATTCGTTGTTATGCCATAGCCTTTCATACTGACGCATGAATGTTGGGCGATGAAGAACACGCATAGTTCGCTCGAAATATTTGAAGTATATCGAAACTAGCCTATCGCAGTAAGGCTTTGGAGGTAGCGATCCCCAGAGCTTTAGCAATGTAGGCGAAGATTCATGGTCTTTCCGGCGATGTAGTAGTGATAGTGAATTCCCTCTGGATTTGTTCTCAAGAAACTTGATCTTCTTGGCAGATGCCATTAATGGTCCATCGTAAGCCATCCTATTGAGAAAATCTTTGACATCGAGGAACTGGATTCAGTTAATTCAGTGCCCGGAATCATAGTGCTGTTATGTTCTTGCCTGATTGAGGAGCGTAACCCTGTCGTTCTGTCCATGATACTGTGACCGATCTCCTTCAGCAACGACCATGCCAAGCAGAGGAAGATCTGTCGACGTCGGCCGGTCGATGCGTGTTATTGCTGAGCTTTGATGTGCACGAGCAACTCCCAAGAGCTCTTCCACTTTTGCCATTCGGTGCTGAAGATCGTCGAGCAAGCTTAAAGGCGCACTGTCAGAAGTGCTCGATAGTCGGGGTCGTTTTACTTTGGATGCAGCTGGGATGATGATGCCGCTTCGATTGTAAGTGCAGGTCTCAGCGATGGATGCTTTGGTGCAATTTTCGCATGGCGTTGTGCGGTCGCATTTCAGCTTTTTCTCGCGACATCTAAGGCATGAAACAACTGGTCGAGGACGTCTTGGGGGCGACGCGTCGTCCATCTTCACCGTATGTCAGGGTTGCGAGGTGTGGACGGGTCTCCTGCCAAGTTGGGCGGGGAGTTAATGCTCGTCTGCGGCACAGTTCAAGCGTCCCACGTGTACCCCTGGCAAAGTCCGCTTACCAGCATTGTCGGGTCGTAACGCGGAATTGTCTTTGGACCAGGTAGTTTTCCAACAACGAGAGAAGCAGGGCAGCAAGGAAGAAGGCGTCTCGGAAAGGAAATAATCTCCTGAGTAGATATACTGCAAAGGTATCTGAGAGTATTCCCAGGCGGAGCGCATGTCAGACACGGAAGCCTAAGAGAGTGTCTGTCGCGGCGTGTTTGCTGTGATGTGAGGCATAATTTACGGGCTTACGGCACGTGGCTCTCTATCAGCGGTGGCACGTGAGAATCGACATTTGTATCCAGGTACCCAGATAGGTTTTGGCGTGGTGTTCAAGTTGGGGGCAGTACAGTTTGGAGTAACAGAAGTCTGGAAGGCGGCGGCGGTGACGTCTAGCTTCGCCTAGGCCTCTGACCCCACAGCGAAAGGTCCCTGAGTAGCAACGGCGAGATTTGCCCGCCATAACAACACGTAGCTTCACTATCCTCGAATTGCAATTGACATACAATCCACACATCAATTGCACCTCCCAAAAACTCCCCTTGGTACATTGACCCCATTTTGGTATCTCCTTCAGGTAAGTGCAGGGGAATTGTTGCGTGGCCCCACCTGGCATCTGAAGCTCTCTGGACACGGTAGCTAATAGCTCCCCTCCCGTTCTGCAGCTATCCGACGTCCATCATGAGCAACCTCTTCGAAGCAAAAGTCAAGAGCGTCCTTTCCGGCGATACTGTCGTCCTACACAACATCAACAACCCCAAAGCAGAGCGTACACTGAGCTTAGCCTTTGTAACTGCGCCGAGACTGCGACGAGAGGGAGACGAGCCTTTTGCCTTCGAGTCACGCGACTACCTCCGACGTCTGCTTGTAGGCAAGGTCGTGCGTTTCCAAGTTCTGTATAAGATACCGACTGGCGCAAACCGCGAATATGGCCTCATCGTCACACCGAACAAGGAGATTCTTCCGCAACAAGCCGTCGCTGCGGGCTGGGTGAAGCTGCGAGACGACGCCGGTCGCAAGGAAGACTCGGATGAAGCTGCCAACCTGCTTGAACGACTTGCAGTAGATGAAGCCCGCGCTAGGGCAGACTCCAAGGGCCTCTGGGCTGAGACTGGCGGCAGGATCAACTCGTCTTCAGAGCTGAGCGATCCGCAACAGTTTGTTGAACAGAACAAGGGCAAAGACATTGACTCGATTGTTGAGAAGGTCCTCTCTGGCGACCGCCTCATCGTGCGATTCCTCCTCTCGCCCACCGAGCACGTGCAAACGATGGTCCTCCTCGCCGGTGTCCGCGCACCAGCAACACAGCGAACAAACCCCTCCGACGGCAAGGTCCAACCAGCCGAGCCATTCGGTGACGATGCGCAACAATTCGTCGAGGCTAGGCTATTACAGCGAGGAGTCCTTGTCGAGGTTCTAGGCACAACACCCAACGGCCAAATTGTCGCAGACGTAAAGCACCCTACCCAAGGCAGCATCACACCTTTCCTGCTTAAGAACGGATTGGCCAAATGTACCGACCACCACACCACCCTCCTCGGGCAGAGGATGGGCATATTGAGGGGGGCCGAGAAGCAGGCAAAGGATGGTCGCCTGGGTGTCTACAAGGAGCATGTTGCGCCCAAGGTCAGCAAGGCAGGCGAGCAAGAAGCCACCGTTAGCCGTGTTCAGAGCGCCGACACCATCTTCATTCGGAACAAGGCGGGTGCGGAGAAGCGCATCAACCTCAGCAGCGTCCGTCAACCGAAGCCTACCGATCCCAAGCAATCACCATGGGTGGCTGAGGCAAAGGAGTTATTGCGCAAGAAGCTCATCGGCAAGCACGTCAAGTTCCACGTCGACGGAAAGCGACCGGCGACCGAGGGCTATGACGAGCGTGAGATGTGCACCGTCACTTTCCAGGGCAAGAACGTTGGTTTGATGCTTGTTGAGAGCGGTATGGCTTCAGTAATCCGCCACCGACAGGACGATGCCGACAGGAGCCCGATCTACGACGACCTCCTCCTCGCCGAGTCCACTGCACAAGCTGAAAAGAAGGGCCTCTGGTCGGATAAGTCTCCCTCCGTGAAGCAGTACGTTGATTACTCGGAGTCGCTCGAGAAGGCCAAGCGTCAACTCACTCTGCTTTCGCGGCAACGCAAGGTACCGGCCATTGTCGACTTCGTCAAGTCAGGATCACGCTTTACTGTATTAGTACCTCGCGAGAACGCGAAGCTCACCTTTGTCCTTTCCGGTATCCGCGCACCTCGATCAGCGAGAAACGAAAGCGAAAAGGGCGAACCGTTTGGCAAGGAGGCACATGAATTTGCCAACCGCCGCTGTCAGCAGCGCGACGTCGAGATTGACGTCGAAGACTGCGACAAGGTCGGTGGCTTCATTGGTACTCTGTACA